CCTGATTCACTTGGCTTCCAGTGACACCACTTTCAACAACATTTATGCCCTCAGCCTTATCCTCCTCACCATGGGCTCAGACCTCCTCTTCATTCTCATTTCCTACAGCCTAATCCTGAAGACAATTCTGGGCATGGCCTCCAGTGGACGCAGCCCTCTCAAGGCCCTGAACACCTGCGTTTCTCACATCTGTGCTGTCCTGGTCTTCTACATTCCTGTGCTTGGGCTCTCTATAGTGCACCGGTTTGGGCAGCACGCACCACCGCTCCTCCACATGCTCATGGGCAACACCTACATCCTCTTCCTGCCCCTTATGAATCCACTAATTTACAGCATCAAAACCAAGGAGATCTCTAGCCGGCTCCTCCGAATGCTCAGGAACCTCTGGACGATTTAGCAGAAGGGAAGGCAAGGGGGCCTAAGCTCTGCACAGGAAGAGAATGGCACACTTCTCTTCTTTGCCTCCTGCAGGCAAATCCTTGAATTGTTAAGTGAAGTGGCAGTGACCTCTTCCATCTGTTGACCACCGTGTTGTTCTGCAGATTTGCTGGCTTGGTTTGGTTAGAACCTCTACAAATTCTATGTCTGTTGCTTGCCATATTTGCATAGATATTCCATCAATTCCTATGGCCTTCTGACTTTTTAGCGATCAGAATGCCGATCTAACTTCATCTTCTACTACGAGAGGTTCTTATAAGTAGGGAATATTTTCTAAGCTATCTTGCATAAGAACATAGTTACTGTACAGAATTTCAGTATACTCCTTCTATCTTTGATCTTCTTGGAATCAGTTACTCTCTGGGATCCTCGAGCATACTAATTCAGGCTGGGAACCTGCTTCTAAGTTTGGAGATCTTTTGAAAGACTTTCTTTATTTTTCTATGCCTGTTTCCATCTTCAGTGTCTTTATAGATGTTCTCGTAATACTGCTTCTTGCCTCTTCTAACCGCTCTCTGAAACTCTTTGTCCCGAGGGGTGCCCCATCCTCAGATTTCCTGCCATGGGGAGAGCAGTCTTGTGCTGTGCCACTGAGAGCACAGAGACGGGCCAATGACTCTTTGCAGGCCCAGATTTGCATCCTGCTGACAAGGTGGACAACCTCAGTTGCTACTTGAACAACAGCAGGCCAGGCTTTCTCAACTGAGTCCCCATCCAGATGTGCTGGCTGTGGTTGGAATTTGAGGGACTGCAGTCCCAATGTATCTAGAGAGCATCAATTTGGAAAAGACTGGCACATGCTAAAGTTGCAATCCTATGCTCAGACTTTCCCAGATGTAAATCTCACTGAATTCAATATGACCTTCTTCTAATCAGGCATGTGTTGGAATGCACTGTCAGCAATGGATCCGGTACGGGTTGAGTGGAGTTTTTCCTAATCCCCTTGGTTCCTAATAATTTAAAAGGGGACAGAAATGTTCCACCTCTTCTAAGGAATGCCTAATTTTGAGCCCCTCTGTCACATCCACCTGCACGTTCACACTTCCCGTTTTCTATAAACGCGTGCTTCCAATATTTAATTAAATTATTAATTAGTTAAGCTACATAGAAATTGCCATTCGTGAGTTATAATGTAAGATTGTTGTCTGTTATATGCTCCATGTTTTGTGCTTTTGTTTTCAGGTAGTTTGTGTTGCCAAATGCAAAAGAGTGCCCTAGGCATGTGTATCTCAGAGAATGCTGTATTGCTGTGCAGTTGAGCATTCTGGCTGCTGAATGCAAACGTTTGCGCTTGTTCTTCATTGAGCTTTGCAGCAAAGACTGGGTACTGTGCAACTGGACCATGGAAAGGATTCAGCAGGTGCATTAAGCAAAACCTAGGCTGTCAGGCTGCCATTTCTTGTTCTGCAAAGTCTGCTGGTGCCCTCCCTGAGAAGAGACAGAGCCAGCAATCCAAATCACTCACCCGTCACTTGCTCACATCACATGGGCAAGGGGATTTTCTAAATGTGACACTAATTTTCCTGAGTACAAAAGCCACACCATTCATGTGCAAATGCACTGTCCCAGGAAACTTCTGGGTTTGTGGAACCTGGCGCGTGACGCCCAATTAACATGCAAGGCGGAAATGTCTTTTAATAGCTTTATTCTGCAGATTAAAGGGCACTTGGAAATTAGCTTTCAAAGCAAGCGTGAGTGCTCCATCTCAAGCACGGGAATTTAAACAGCTACTATCAGAAACTCATGATATCATCAAACAGAAATATAGTTAAAACACTTCTACGAAGGTGGGTCCTAATGCCCAGGGTGGGCGCTGGTTGTTGCTGAGGGAAATATGAGCTGAGCTACCAGTCCCTTATCTATATAGATTAGAAACACTGCCTTCTACTCTTCCATTGCTAAATGATGAGGTCGTAAAGTGCAACGACATCACTTAGCGATGGCAATTCCTGCAGTCCCCGTTGCTATCGTTAACCGAATCCCACGGTTGTTAGGCAAGGCAACTTCATGCCAGCTTCCCACAACCAAGTCCATGAGAAAACTGGCAGGAAGTTGCAAGTCCCACGAGACTCACAAGCAGGCCAGCAAGGAGGGTGGGAAGGGTGTAAGGGAGGTGTGGCAAGGCTTGGTAAGGTGCATGGGGGTGCGAGGGAGCCATGGTGAAGCTCTTGGAAGGTGCGCGGGGATGTGCAATGGAGCCAGCAGTGTTGGGGAGGCCTGGAGATGCTTGGCAATGAACGGGGAGGATAGGCACACAAGATGGATTTGTGTAAAGGCCTTCCTGGTCACACCAGGCAGGGGATGAGAACCCTGGAGGACCCCCAAATGGCACACCATCCAGAACAAAAGGAGGGAAGCCTCCAAATCAGGGGCCCTAAAACCCATAGCTGCATAGCCTTGCTAGGGTTGAACCAAAGCCTCTTCCTCCCCATTCAGTCCCTCAGAGCCTTCAGACCCTCAGAACCTGTGTCTGCTACCTTGAAACAGAACACCAATGGTAGATATATCTTTGCAGCATCAGATTTTCTTTTTCCCTCAGGCCCACCTGGACATCCTTCTAGCTTTCATCCAGATGCCTCCTTAGCCCCAGGGCTGCCCATCATGGGTGACTCTTCTACCTACAAAATTCAGCATCATGCAAGCCATGGTATTCCCTGTGACCCTCTATGGAAGTGGAAGTTGGACTTGAAGAAGCAAGCTAGGTGTCAGATTCAGCTGGCGCGGCACAGCTAGGAACTTGCCCAGCCGTGCTTAGTCAGTTTCACCACTTGAGCACTAGCAAGGAAAGGGGAAGTGAGAAACCGCAAACTGATTAATGGGCCAGCTGGTGCCACTTTACTAAACCGCAAGTGGATACTTTGTGTCAATGCCAAATTGCCCTGGGCACTGCAGACAAAGGGGAGAGCAGCGGATTAGAGATAAAGCAATCAGCGCGTGATTGGGAACTCCTGGCTTTGCGAGCAACAGAAAGACCCAGCAACTACAACAACAACGCCATCGATAGAAAGCAATCAAGAACACAAAAGAGCTGGACTGAATCTGGCATTTGAGTAAAGGGGGGGATTTGTTGTTTAGTCGTTAAGTCGTGTCCGACTCTCCGTGACCCCATGAACCATATTGCGCC